TGACATAGTAACGACTCAATAGATAGCCTCCATTTCAAATGAAATCTATTAAGAAGCTTCGAATGTATCAATTCCTTCTGCATTATTTGTGGCAAGTGTTCATACCAAGGGCATTGTTTCCTCATAAAATGAAATAAACTCCCTGGAATTGTTTAATTCCTAATATGAAAACCATAATTAAAATTAATTCAAGTTTTCAGAAAACGAAAACATCAATCCAAACAGAAATTGTTTCAAACATCCAACAAAAAATTGAATTAATCTATCATGCTTTACATGACATTAATCTAATGTGGTGCACATTCTATCACAAAGAAGTTTTCATAATAGTCTCGCAACGAATGATATTTGTAATTATTCCTTTATAACCTTCTCCTGAATTAGATAGCTTTTAGTCTAAACCTTCTCCTAAATTTAGTCTGAATCTAAAGAAGAACAAGAAACAAGAAACGAAGGAACGTAATGGGAAGTTGTAGTAAAAAAGTCGATTTCGTCATCAAGTCTATTATGTTTTGTTCTTTTTTTTTTTCAATTTTTTCCAAAGAGGAGGTTGTTGTTGGGCACCATCTATTCATACTTACTAACCTGATCCAAAAGGACTGATCCCAAAGTCGTGAAAAGGAATATGGTTTCAGGCAGACAAATCAATGAAATGCATATGATTAAACCACACAGAGATGGATTCTTAAATTTATAAGGTGTGATTTGATTCTAGTTAAGTCATTGTGAGGGCAAGAGGAAAATAGATGAGGGCATTTTTTTCCTAGGAAGAAAACAAGACCGATGCAGAAAAAAATAGAGATTTCAACACTTTAGTAAGGTGTTGAAGTAAGGGCTTGAGTAGTAACAGATGAGAAACAAAGAGCAGTTAATGTAGCAGGGATTTGAGACAGAAAATTAAGGTTATAGGGTTGGTTTCAATGGTTTAAAATATGATTTTAAAGCAAGATAACAAGATAAACTTCCAGTATGAGATATGGAAGAATAAGGATAATAACAAAAAAGGGTTAGTCAGAACTAAAAGAGTAAAGGACTCGGTGAAGAATAAGTGAAAGGGGAGAGAAAGAAAAGGAGGAGGCAGATGACATAAAACTATTCATATTATTGAACAACACCATGTGAGAATAGAGAAAACAAATGCTTAATTCACAAAAGAAGTACATCTATTGAACTAACCAATTANGAAGAATAAGTGAAAGGGGAGAGAAAGAAAAGGAGGAGGCAGATGACATAAAACTATTCATATTACTGAACAACACCATGTGAGAATAGAGAAAACAAATGCTTAATTCACAAAAGAAGTACATCTATTGAACTAACCAATTCACAAGTAAATTACGAATTAATGATATTAATAAACAAACATGGGACAGGTTTTCTTTCATTTCACAATTTGAGATGGTTTAATATTTTTTTATGGTTTTTCAGATATCGGCGTNATATTAATAAACAAACATGGGACAGGTTTTCTTTCATTTCACAATTTGAGATGGTTTAATATTTTTTTATGGTTTTTCAGATATCGGTGTCATAAAACAAGCAAATTTGTAGCTCAAAAATTAAAACTTATGATTAATATTCAAGATTATTTTACCAATGTTAAGAGTTCCCTTGTCTCTCACTCCGTCAGACACCCATTTGAACAAATTTCACCAAGAACTTAAAATTCCACANAAATTTGTAGCTCAAAAATTAAAATTTATGATAAATATTCAAGATTATTTTACCAATTTTTAAGAGTTCCCTTGTCTCTCACTCCGTCAGACACCCATTTGAACAAATTTCACCAAGAACTTAAAATTCCACACGAAAAATATGTTTTATACAAATTATATTATCACAAGTCCGAGTATTCAATTCAATCACTTTTCTTTTAACTACTAAATGGCAGGTAACTTCAAAAACTAAAAACTAAGCATAATATTCACATAGTGCATCATGTGGTAATTTCAATCTTAGTCAATATCTTTCATATTTACCAACAAATACCCATAAACATACAANAAGTCCGAGTATTCAATTCAATCACTTTTCTTTTAACTACTAAATGGCAGGTAACTTCAAAAACTACAAACTAAGCATAATATTTACATAGTGCATCATGTGGTAATTGCAATCTTAGTCAATATCTTTCATATTTACCAACAAATACCCATAAACATACAAAGAAACCACAAGCGGGCAAAAAACAGAAATATTTCCATAGTAAAGTATCATATTTGTGAGTAACAGAGCAACATATATGATGAACAAACACTCTTTCAAAACAAATTCAAAAGGAATCTCTCAAAGAAACAAGCATTGATCCAAAATTATGAACAAATAACCCTAAATGCAAACAAAAAAGCACTACCTTAAATCAATCACATGAACACTCCCCCAAATTAAAACTAAAAAATATAAATAANAGAAACAAGCATTGATCCAAAATTATGAACAAATAACCCTAAATGCAAACAAAAAAGTACTACCTTAAATCAATCACATGAACACTCCCCCAAATTAAAACTAAAAAATATAAATAATGATGGGACTTTTATGAAATACTCCATGATGAAGACACGTGTCCTCGGTATTTACCAAAACACTGTTGCTAAGATCAAATACCATCGGCGCACAAGGTCCTCACCCCCGAGGTATNCTCCCTCGGTTCTGAGATGAGCCTTTCCTCGGTGCCGAGGTGTACCCCGTCCTGGACACCTTCCTCTACTCCAGGATAAGCTATTGACGTACAGGTTATTAGCCTAGANCCGAGGTATTCGTCATATAGGATCATGGCATTCAGTACGTTTTACAACCAACACGTAGCCTCGGTCTGATATGGTATCTCGGTCGGTATCCCTCCCTTGGTTCCGAGATGAGCCTTTCCTCGGTGCCGAGGTGTACCCCGTCCTAGACGCCTTCCTCTACTCCAGGATAAGCTATTGACGTATAGGTTATTAGCCTAGGCTGNAGGGGCCACAGCCAATGGGGGATGGACGCGTGGCATATGATATCACATCGAAGACAGGAAAACCGTATGCCGTTGCTGACATGCGACTTGGGAAAGCAAACGNACGCCTTCCTCTACTCCAGGATAAGCTATTGACGTATAGGTTATTAGCCTAGGCTGGTCTAGGCTATTCATCATGACTTCGTCTTACACAATTAGTGTCAGAACGTACTGGAATGCAGGAGCCACAACCAATGGGGGATGAACGCGTGGCATATGATATCACATCGAAGACAGGGAAACCGCATGCCGTTGCTGACACGCGACTTGGGAAAGCAAACGATTAATTACACCATTCCTTTGATGAGACCACATTCAATGCGGTAAGGCTCGGAAATGAAAAACAATAAATGCTCCTAATACAGAACATTTATTGCATCCTCCCCGAGAGGAGTACATTGTACCGTCGGCATCCCGATGACGCAGCATTGATTGCTCGGGACCCCGAGCAGTTAAGAAGAGAAGACATTCCTCATCAGAATCAGTGCGCACACTGCCTGTACCTAATGATCACCTACTGACTACACTGACAGCAATCATGAGCTTTTGAGGTATAAATACTCCTTGCAAAAGGCAAGACGGGTATGCAACAAAAAACTCTTTACTACAATACACACTCAGTGTTTTCTCCTTCCTCTATTTTTCTCAAAGACTGACTAGATCGTCGGAGGGAATACACCGAAAAACACTCCGGTGCCCTTCTAACTTGTTCTTCTTCGTTCCAGGAACCTCTTTCAGCCTTACTGGATCGTTCTTCCGCTCCCCCAGGGTCTCCCGTTGCCGTTCCAGGTTATCACCGGACCTCGCAGGCTGTTCCAAGCAGTGTGGTTGGTCACTCAACTGGTTCACTCGAGTTCACCAAATGAGAGATCTGTTCTCGTTTTTTATATTGTGTAGGATCTTANAGGCTGTTCCAAGCAGTGTGATTGGTCACTCAACTGGCTCACTCGAGTTCACCAAGGGAGAGATCTGTTCTCGTTTTTTATATTGTGCAGGATCTTGCACGCACAAATAAGTAATGGAAGAATTGAAAAACTAAAAAGTCATAAATTCGTTGTCAATTCTTACCTAATAACATTCGAATACATACAATCACATACACACATACATAGGTAAAATGAGGGCCTTCCAACCCTAAGAAGAAGGGATCTAATTTGTTGTCAGGTTTTTTTTTATGATTTTCCTAATCTCATGGTGGAGAGTTGTTCACCCAAAAAAAATAGTACCTGGTGAAGAACTATAGAGGCTGCTAGGTTTGCTGCCCAGGCTGCCAACATCCATCAAGAGCTAATCTACGTTGGGAAAAACAACCTAAAAGAAAAAGTTCGAATAAACAAAGTCATGATCGTGGATGAGAAATTGGGGGCTGTTATTGAGCTGGGCTATGTCTCATTCTTCTGGGCAACGCTAAACAGCACGTGGCACTCCAAATTGCAGTTAAAGGCCGGGGACTCAGAGAATGACCCGATAGTGCAGGAGTTTAAGACCATCCTCAGTTACGACAGCGGCTAACAAGGATGGGCTGTGATCAGTAGAGGCACTGTTGAGATGACTAGAGCAAAAGGGGACATTTTTCTGCAGGCAATGTTGGAATATTATAACTGGATAAGGGAAGTTGGGGAGCTTGGTTTTGTGCGTACAATTGATAAGTATCTTCGTGAGAAGCTCCACCCTACCCACCACTATACCCGCCTGATACTGCCTTCATTGACCGGAGACGATGTCCCAGAGAGGGTGGTGTGTGCAGAATGTCGCTGTCCCATGGAGAAGTTCATCATGTATCGCTGCCGTGTTGATTGAGCTACTACTGAGTACTAAGCCACCTTCTGTGTACTTACTACTAGAGTTTGGGTGACGTGTCTAGTTTTTTTTTTTTTATTGTAATCACTGCTTTAAAGTTTGCTACTATATGTATGTGTGTAGTAGAGAGGCCTGTGTTGTATTGCAGTTACTCTGTAGTTCTGGCTTGCTGTGATGCTTTTAGTAGTGGTTTGTAAGGATGCAAGTATTGCTAGTAAATAAATTCTATCAGTTTGTGTTAAAAATGTGTAATTTAAGGTGTTTGTTTAATTGAAGTTAGCGGCGCTGTAATAATTAACCAAATTTGTTGCAAGTGTAATGGTGGTGGGCTTGGGCCATGGGCTACATTTTGTATATTCATGAAGTGTGCATGGCATTTTGGAAGATAAATTTGTGAAGAGTGAAGATGAGCAGGGGGAGCAGATGTAATGCAGTGAAGCGTATAAAAACACGGGTATAAAGAGAATAAGAATGGAATTGAGAACTACAATGCATCTGTACTGTAAGCCTCTTGCAGTGTCGAATATTTCAATTGGAGTGCATTGTACATTCCATTAAAATTGAAAACCCAAAACCTCTAAGAGATGAAAGGGATGTTTTGGGTGAATTGAACAAAAGAAACTGATTTAGAAAACCACATGGCACTGTCATTTTGTAATACAGTAAGCCTACACAGTCAATTGATTCAAATGACAAACAACTGTTTGACACATGTCCTCTAATATGACAATATCTGGAGCCTGGGTGGACTCTTTTTTCTTCTGTTTGAATAGAAATAGGGAGTCCCCTTAAGGTGAGACAGATTGTGCATGATAGAAGAGAGTTACATTAATGGAGTTCACTCTCACTGTATCACATTGTATCATTTTGTTAGAGTCTAACAAGAGAGTAGTATAAGCTCTTCTCTCTTCTGGCAAGCAGCTCTTGGTGAGATCTCTCTTCTGCTACCTTCCCATTATCAATCACTGCTATTGAATCTGCTTTATGAATTGTCGCTAGTCAATGAGCAACAAGAACACATGTCCTGCCTAACAGTACCATCATTTTTTCCATTGCTTCCTGTACAAAGCTCTTCAATCTTCTATCTAATGCACTTGTTGCCTCATCCAATAGTAGTATCGAAGCATTCTTCAATATTGCTTGGGCAATCGCTATCCTTTGCTTCTGTCCACCGAAGAACTGGACACCCCTTTCTCCACAATTGGTTTCATAGCCATCCTTCATGCTACTGTTTGCATCGAAGGCATTAACCAAAAAATTAGATTGTTGGAAAATACACATTAGTACATTATAAGGAAATGGGATTATGGTGTTCCTAGAAAGGACTATACTCTGTATAGTTCAACTGTAAAGTAATATTGGATGATTTTGACCTTAGGTTTATGTATAGTGCTTGGTGAAACTTGGAAAAGAAACTTCACCAGATGAATTCATGGGCATTAGCAAGTGATGCAGCTTCAATAATTTCAGCTTCAGTTGCATTCTCATTTCCATAGCTGATATTGTCACAGATTGTCCCTGCATAAAGAGTTGGTTCTTGGCTGACTAGTGCAATGTGCGATCTCAGGGCTCTCAGGCTATAGGATTTGATGTCAATCCCATCAATTTTTACTTCTCCTTCAATTGGGTCATAGAATCTCTCAATCATACTGATGATGGTTGATTTTCCCAACCCGCTCTTACCAACCAATGCAACAGTTGTTCCAGATTTAATTTCAAGGCTTAATCCGCATAGTATAATATGCTTGGGCCTTGCTGGATATGCAAAAATAATGTTTTTGAGTTTTATGTCTCCCTTTATCTTTTCTAACTTAATCCCATCAGAATCATCTAGCTCCATCTAACTTTTTCTTTTCAAGATCATGAAAACTGATTTCACTGCATCAGTGCCCTTTGATAGATCTGACGTCATACTTCCAGCTTCTACTATAACTCTCCTACAGGTCACCAATATGAAAAACGTCTGAAATAGGTGCTTGTATGTGATCTCATTATGGTACAACAATTTTGCTCCACACCAAAAAATTAACCCGGCGTTAGCAGCAGTTAGAAACTGTGAGATAAATAAACCCAACCCTGCGTACCAAAATTGCTTTTTGCTCTCTCTTTTAGGATCTTTCAGTGTAGCCTCAAACGCTTCATGATTTTTTACTCAGCAGAGAATGCTGCAATTGTCCTATGATTCCTAACCTCCTCATTTGCTAAGCCACTGCTCCTTTTTTGTTGGTGTCTTGATGAATTAATTGAAGTTCATTTTCTGATTCCTCATATTTGACTTCTTGAGCGTCTGTTGGGATATAACAAACATCATTACAGTCTGTTCTCATAGGAGGTTCACCATCTTCTACAGATGTTTGTTGGAGCGGCACCATACTGAAGTATTGACCATGTTCATTTTGAAGGAGGTCGATATGAGAACCACTTTCTACTATCTGTCCTGATTGTATAGAAGTTACTATGCCAGCATTACGAAATGTAATGAGGTGGTGTGCAACTATAATTGTTGTCCTTCCTATGGATGCCTAATCTAGAGCATCCTGCAAAGATTTCTCGGACTGAGAATCTAATGCACTGGTTGCTTCATCAAACAGCAGGATTCTTGGCTTCTTCAGTAAAGCCCTTGTAATTGCAATCCTTTGTTTTTGACCTCCAGACATTTGGATTCCAAATTGTCCAACCTATTGTCAATGAAAAAATTAGGTNTCTTCTGCTACCTTCCCATTATCAATCACTGCTATTGAATCTGCTTTATGAATTGTCGCTAGTCAATGAGCAACAAGAACACATGTCCTGCCTAACAGTACCATCATTTTTTCCATTGCTTCCTGTACAAAGCTCTTCAATCTTCTATCTAATGCACTTGTTGCCTCATCCAATAGTAGTATCGAAGCATTCTTCAATATTGCTTGGGCAATCGCTATCCTTTGCTTCTGTCCACCGAAGAACTGGACACCCCTTTCTCCACAATTGGTTTCATAGCCATCCTTCATGCTACTGTTTGCATCGAAGGCATTAACCAAAAAATTAGATTGTTGGAAAATACACATTAGTACATTATAAGGAAATGGGATTATGGTGTTCCTAGAAAGGACTATACTCTGTATAGTTCAACTGTAAAGTAATATTGGATGATTTTGACCTTAGGTTTATGTATAGTGCTTGGTGAAACTTGGAAAAGAAACTTCACCAGATGAATTCATGGGCATTAGCAAGTGATGCAGCTTCAATAATTTCAGCTTCAGTTGCATTCTCATTTCCATAGCTGATATTGTCACAGATTGTCCCTGCATAAAGAGTTGGTTCTTGGCTGACTAGTGCAATGTGCGATCTCAGGGCTCTCAGGCTATAGGATTTGATGTCAATCCCATCAATTTTTACTTCTCCTTCAATTGGGTCATAGAATCTCTCAATCATACTGATGATGGTTGATTTTCCCAACCCGCTCTTACCAACCAATGCAACAGTTGTTCCAGATTTAATTTCAAGGCTTAATCCGCATAGTATAATATGCTTGGGCCTTGCTGGATATGCAAAAATAATGTTTTTGAGTTTTATGTCTCCCTTTATCTTTTCTAACTTAATCCCATCAGAATCATCTAGCTCCATCTAACTTTTTCTTTTCAAGATCATGAAAACTGATTTCACTGCATCAGTGCCCTTTGATAGATCTGACGTCATACTTCCAGCTTCTACTATAACTCTCCTACAGGTCACCAATATGAAAAACGTCTGAAATAGGTGCTTGTATGTGATCTCATTATGGTACAACAATTTTGCTCCACACCAAAAAATTAACCCGGCGTTAGCAGCAGTTAGAAACTGTGAGATAAATAAACCCAACCCTGCGTACCAAAATTGCTTTTTGCTCTCTCTTTTAGGATCTTTCAGTGTAGCCTCAAACGCTTCATGATTTTTTACTCAGCAGAGAATGCTGCAATTGTCCTATGATTCCTAACCTCCTCATTTGCTAAGCCACTGCTCCTTTTTTGTTGGTGTCTTGATGAATTAATTGAAGTTCATTTTCTGATTCCTCATATTTGACTTCTTGAGCGTCTGTTGGGATATAACAAACATCATTATAGTCTGTTCTCATAGGAGGTTCACCATCTTCTACAGATGTTTGTTGGAGCGGCACCATACTGAAGTATTGACCATGTTCATTTTGAAGGAGGTCGATATGAGAACCACTTTCTACTATCTGTCCTGATTGTATAGCAGTTACTATGCCAGCATTACGAAATGTAATGAGGTGGTGTGCAACTATAATTGTTGTCCTTCCTATGGATGCCTGATCTAGAGCATCCTGCAAAGATTTCTCGGACTGAGAATCTAATGCACTGGTTGCTTCATCAAACAGCAAGATTCTTGGCTTCTTCAGTAAAGCCCTTGTAATTGCAATCCTTTGTTTCTGACCTCCAGACATTTGGATTCCAAATTGTCCAACCTATTGTCAATGAAAAAATTAGGCGTCTCCCTGTTCATGGCTTGTTCTTTTCTTGATCTATTGATGCTAATGTAGGAACAACCAAAGTTCTTGTAACTTACTTGTGTATCGTAGTCATCGGGTAGTTGACAAATGAAATTGTGTGCATTGGCTGCTTTAGCTGCATCAATGACCCCAGTCATTGAAGCACCTTCTTTCCCAAAGAGGATATTTTCTTTGATGGAGGTTGTAGAGAGCACTGGCTCTTGGCTAACAAGACCTATTTGAGATCGTAACCATTTCAGCTTAAGAGTCTTTGTGTCAATCCCATCCAAAAAAATTTCTCTTTTGATGGGATCATAAAATCTTTCAATCAATGAGATTATAGTTGATTTTCCTAAACCACTGCCTCCTACTAATCCCAAAATTTGACTGCCCTTCACCATTAGGTTGAAATTTTGGAGTACCATATTCCTAGGTCTTGTGGGATAAGCAAAATCCACATCCTTGAACTCCAGTTCACCTCTAACATCTTCAAAGATTTTTCCTGGCTAGTCCTCGGAATCTATGATTGGCACTTGCTCGATCATGTCAACTAACAAATATGCAGAGGCTGCTGCCTCCATGAAGAACTTTACATTGGCCAAAGAGCCCCCGAGTTCACTACAAAAAAGTAGGTCAGAATTTTAACTCCTAATCTCAATTATTGTTAGACCAAGGATTCCTATTTTACATTTTAGATATTTTTTGCTTTCCAGTTTGATAGGAGCATGTTGTGTAGCAACTAATATTAACATTTGTCTCATAGTCAGATTTGTAGAAGATTCAGTAATAAAAGATGAATAGGGTTCGTGACAAAAACCTTGCCTGAGAGTCCCAGGTGATCCAAAGGGTAATTGAAAAGATAGGAAAATTTGTCATGCGGCAGCACTCTGTGTTTGGAATATAAGCCACTACCTGTGGTGGCTGGTATCATGCTGCTTCTCATGTTAGAATAGAGGTTGGACTACCCAGGTGCTAGCTTATGAGTCACCAATGATTTCAATGGATTTTCCATGAATCTGAAGCTAAGTGAAGATAGAGGTGTAGATAGTGATGAACAATAAAACCAAGCAGCATTTTCATTCGGGTTTCTTGGCTTTCCTATTGTTGATTTTGCAACATGACCATCATGATAGTATGAAATTTTTGTGTTTTATTGATTATCAGAGCAGTTTTGTTTTTTTTTTTGGCATCTTATTGTTAATTTACTATATCAATGATTTTTAGTATCGAGACTTACAATCCTCTAACGACGATGCAAACTCCTGCTGTAAAAACATCCCCACCAATTGCTCCTTTCTCAATGACTAAAATGTTGTCATACTTGGCTTGGAAAGACCAGACAGCAAAAGCTATGCCAATGCTTCTAATAACATAACCCTTTATGTGCCTTTGTTTAATCCCAAGATCCAAACTTTGTTCTAATGCTTCCAAATAGCTTCTTTTCATTTCGGTCTCACCACCGCAAGAGTATACAGTCCTGATTGATGAAAATGCTTGTTCTGTTATCGAGCCTATAGCTCTGTAAGATACTATAATTTTTTTCCTTATCTCTGCTAGCATTTTCCCATTAATGATTCTTGGGATTATCAATGGAGATAGTGCTGGAATGGCAACAACAACAAGTCTCCAACAGAGGTACAAAGCTACCACCTCAGAAGAAAGGAAAGTTGATACATTCATAAGGAAGTTTGGAAGCTGTATTAACAAAATTATCACTTAAAATAATGAACAAAATCATGGGAGATCAAGAAGTAATAATTTGAGTGGAATAGGTAGTAGAGATGGACCTGCTCACTAAAAACACCTTGAATGGTGAGAGAATCAGCTAAAAAACTTTCCGTGATTTGATATGTAGTTGAAGTGCCATCTAGTTTATCAAAGAAGCTAGCAAATTGCCTTAACACTGCCCTTAGATATTTTTTGCGCAGTCGAGAAGTTTGCCTCTCAACAGTGCGAGCCCAACATAGTCCTGTTTACAAGAAGAAACGCTAAAGGATGAGAGAAAATTGTTCTCTACACCATGTAAATATGTGATGGCAAATCAGATTTAAATCGATGAGGCTGAGTGTGAACAACCCACCTAGTAAGGCACCAAGTCCCACTGCAATGGCTACGTAGATTAATTTCAAAGCATCCGGTCAACACAAAAATCAACTTGTAATCTTGAAAAACATGTGAGAAAATCTATAAACATTCGTCTTTAAGAAGCCCATGACTAACCTGATTGATATCAT